ATATATATATATATATATATATATGTGTGTGTGTGTGTGTAAGTTTTTATAACTGAACAATAATAATCTTTAAATTAGATTTAATCGAATAGTTATAAGTAAAAATACTAATTTAACTACTATATTAAATTCAATTTAAATATTATGATGTAGAATAAATTTTTAAAAAAAAAATACTATTAGAATAAGTTTCCTCACTTTTATATACAAGTGTAGGGTTAATATCTATTTTATCATTTCATATATATGGTATTTTTTAAAAGTTTTAAAAAGAAGAAGCATATATTTTTTCTCTGCCAATTGAAATTTTCATGTTCATGTGGCTGTTCAAATATTAACAATTATGTTTAATTTACAAAATTATTAAAATTAAAAATAAAATTTAGCCTCAAGGCAGAGTGAAACAATGACGAAAGGGTAGGATGATTTATACTTGAATATTACAACAACAAAAATTAAGTTTTACTACACAAAACAAAACAGGATCGGTTATAAGAATCAAAATTTTCTATAATGATCTATTTAAGATTATATTTTTATCAATTTATTAATCTTAACATATTTTTTTAATAACTTTTTTTATAATTTACAAGTTTCCATAGATCTTTAATGTTTAATTCATTTATATTTGTACATCTAAAATTAAAATAAATACTAATTAATATATATGTTTTCAGACGGTCATATTAACTTCCAACCGACCATTCTAAAAGAGTCACAATCCTTTTAGAACCTTATCAACACGCAAGAACTATTTTGCAAGCAAAAGTAGAGGATCTAGTGTTCTGATGCAACTAACGGCTCTCCACAGTTTATTCCTAATAAATAACAACTTAGTCATTTCCTCTTTTATATATATATATATATATATATATATATATATATATATATATATATATATATATATATATATATATATATATATATATATATATATATATATATATATATATATATATATATATATATATATATATATATATATATATATAACAACTTAGTCATTTCCTCTTTTATATATATATATATATATATATATAACGTATCCTATGAGAATGTCACTTTTATAGAAAAATATGAGAATGAATCTGAATCATTAGATTTTAAAATATATACACGTCCTCTATATATTCTCAGTTATTTAGTTTCAAATTCAATTTCAATTCATTGTTCTCTCTTACATACTGACTTGAGTATTAAAGTGTCAACCTTAAAGGTCAGCCCTTTTTCTGCTGCACCGGAAGCTCAGATACGCTATTATCTGTGATCCTCACTCCATTTCTGGTTCTAGTACAGAACAATGGCGCCGTTTGTGGCAATCGATTTCTAATTCCTGCATTTTCCACGATTTCAAGTTCATTATTTGATTCGTTAGTTTAAAACCTTCTCAGGTCATCGAATCGAGAGCACTCAAAATCGAACATGAAAGTTTGTCGTGTTCAATCCAATCAAGCATCATTTCAACATTAATTTCCAGAATTTCCAGATCTCAAATTCTTATGCTTACAAGTATAGAGGAAAGTTTCCTTTTCCTCGAAGAAAGTCTCTACGGTGCACCTCCACGAGGGAACACCATTCAATAATTTGTATCCAAGAGGACTCAAATCGTCGTCCCTGAGCTGACTGCGATGATTAAGGATGAAGCTACTAAGTAAAAAAAAATCAACAGAGCATCAAGAAGCACAAAAGTCCTCCCCGAAGCCCCGAGGAAGATCGAGGTAGCCGCGCTCCTCCCCCAGATCAGGTAGAAAATCAACCATCGAAGAATCATCTAAAGCATTATCTATTCTCTAGGATTTTGGATAGCAAAATACTGAAATCCATGAAGAAGCCTCCTAAGTTGGGTGTGTATAATGGAAATGGATATCCGAACGAGCACACATAACTCCTTATCGATCGGATGCACTACTTTAGCGCTTATGAAGCCTCTAATTGCTGATTATTTACATTAACATGGGTTGAGCAGGGCAGACTATGATACAATGATCTGTCGGACGGATGTATTAAATCATGGATGGATTTCTGCGAACGGTTCTCCGCGCACTTTACCACTTGGAAAAGGAAGTTTGTGATTGTAGTTGCTTTGAACGGGATCATTCAATGGAAAAAGGAAATCTTGTGGTCTTATATCGATCGATTTACACAAGTTGTTGTTGAGGTAGAGAGAGCTGAAGAAGGCCTTAAGTGTTGGATCTTCGAGAATTGCTTTATGTGGGGTCATCCCTTTAGATTGAAGATAGGATGGAATAAAGTATAAATAACCTATGAGATGTTGAACATGGCTCATTCTTACATGATCCTAGAGGAAAAACTTAATACATTATTCGACAATCCCGCTTCCGCCGACACTAACTCTAGTTGCCCAGCTGGGAAGAAGTTATGTTGTCGAAAGGATGAGTCTAATAGGTGAATTCATAGACAGTATGACAAGTACACATCACTAAATGTATCTCATGAGAAGACTACCAATATTGTGCCAACACATAATTATATAAAGGAGGGATTAGACCCCCTTCTCCTATTAGAGAGTCGTCCTGGACCGACAAGTCGAAATAATATTGTTTCCATAAAGGACATGGCCATAACATTAACAAACACATCCAGCTAAAAAATGCCATTGAAAGGTTTATCAAGAGAGACCGGTTGGTTAAGTACGTAAAAGGGGGAAAAGAGAAAGGGAAGAGTCGCCTAAGGGTAAATCTCCCTAAAAGACTGTAGACGTCAAAAGTAGTGTTCAAGACAAAGAGGCCATCAAGGGGACACTCTCATATATCTCCGTCATCACTAGAGGAACTCCCCAAGCAAACCTCCCCTACAAAGAAACCATGAAGATAAAAATCGTTAAGATGTTAGTTGTCCACAAAAAAGACGCGGGTGCATCGATGAAAACCCCTGAACCATCTATGTTAGGGTTTTGAGACTCTAATAAGGTGGGACGAACCTCTAAAAAAATGTCCCCATTGGTGATTACTGCTACAACTGGTCAGTTTTACATCTCTTAAATCATGATCGACGACATAAGCTCTTGCGATATCATGTATTAAGAGCTGTTTGAGAAGATGGGCTTGGAAAGACGGAGCTTATGATCATATGAAGGTTCAGACTTGCAAACATTCAATGGGCCAACCACCTGTCCATGGGGGTACGTCATGAAGATTATTACCCGTAGGTATATAAATAGGAGTTATATTGAGAGCAATATCTAAATGAGTATTTGGCATATAATTAGGTATGACAACCATCTACCACCCTTAATCATGTCGATAACTCTAGTAGACAGCCTAGTTTGCGTATGTAACAGGTTGTCATTCCAAAAGTTTATCTTGTCATCATTGCTTATATTATATCCATATCCTTCCAAAACTGTATCATAATGTTGGTTAATACTTGTCCAGATGAAATAATTGATATGATATTTCTTCGGGCGATTATTAGTAAAAAAATCTAGCTCTACAAACCTTAGCCCATTTCTCATTGGATGAAATAAAACCTCTAGACGAGGTTCATATTCAGTGCGTCATCATCTGCTTAGTCAATCTAGTACTCAATCCAACCTGCTCCACAGGTTTGCAAACATCTTTCTAAGGAATTGTACAATTTTTTTGAATAAGGATATCACCACTCCCAATAAAGTTAGAAAACCAATTATCCAATTGGGACAACACCTTGGCCAAACATCGGTAAATATGAAAAGAATATATCAATATGTGTTCTACTATCGACTTTGTAAATTGAATCCTCCTGAAAATAGACAACAATACCCCCCTTTCAAGAGGCAAGTTTAGTTTTAACTTTGTGAGTTATCCTTTAAAAGTGAATGACTCTTGACTTCCCTTTGAAAACAGAGAACCCCAATTAAGAAAGCAAGATTTGGCCTCGTTGAAAGTCCAAACAAATTTGGATAGTACCCATTCTTTGCACCGACATGACTCCGACATGAAATTTATTCTTCAACCTTAGTATTGCTTCAACCTTAGTATTGACAAATTCAAAAAATTAATTCTATCGTTTTTTAATTAAAAAAATTTTGCACCGACATGAAACAAAATGGAGATGCGGGGTATCGATCCCCGTACCTCTCGCATGCTAAGCGAGCGCTCTACCATCTGAGCTACATCCCCATGATTTTTATTTTTCTTAGATATTTTACTTATTAAAAGTAGTTCCATTAATTAGTAACTTATTGATGTGATAATAGCAATTTAATTATTTACCAATAGCAATTTAATTATTTGGTAAAGTTGTAATTCATAACTTATAACTGTAACCTTGAATAGTAATACATAATTTTCACTCCTGATAATGTAATGTTTTCTTATTATTGTATGTTAAATTCATCAAATTGATAACTTAAGCGATTAGCTTATTATTTTGCAAAATTTCTGGACACAAATAGTCTTTAACTAATGAAGGACTAAAAACTTTAATAAAATGATAGCACTTTTTAGAAAAATAAATACTAGTATTAATTATTGAATTAGTACTTAGTAGGCATTGAGTAATTTGATTCCCACAATTAACAATATTTCAAGATGATTTATAAAATCCAGATAAAAATTACTGGAATTAAATTTAAAATTCCTGGTTATTTATTTCTCGTCACTAAAATTATTCTGGAGAGATTTTTAATTTAGAAACCACCTTCAAATTTCACTAACTTCAATGAAAATTTTGCATAGCCCAGATTTCAAAAACTAAACTGATGTTCACACTTTATTTGATGCTTATAATCACTCTTCATTTTTACACCTTCAAATTTCATTAGTTTCTTCATGTTTGACAATGAAGGAATAATCAATAATGCCATATACCATTCCTCTATGATAACTAGTTATTGTTAGAAAGAAAGAGATGCTTCAAAACACTAAAGTGGGAACTTAAAATAAGGACTTGGTAAAATCAATGCTTGATTAGTATTCAATTTCTTAACTAACAGTGTGCATAACAAATTGCACAAACTAAATAAAAATTTGATTTCTGTATGGTCCATTTCCTCTGCTTCAAAAGATGTGTGTATTACCGATTCTTTTACCAATAAGTTCCTTCAACTCAAACTCGCCGGGGAATCTATTCTCCTTCAACTTGGAGAAAACCTGAGGTCCAAATCAACAAGAGGATTATGAAGTCATTAAAAGTATTCAAATATGACTGTTAACACCATCATCAAAAGAGGATGCTAAATCAATTGCCATCACTAACAAGGGACTTACCAATTCGCCATTGCAATATACTTCAAAAGCACCAGAACTCTGCAAGAAGGATTGAACAAAATTTGCAAGAAGCCAAATGCTGGCAATACTTCTAAACTTATTGGCACGCAAGGAATAGTACAGTTGTGGTGGTGTCACCCCCAATCTCGGGAATATTTGGTCACCTGCAGTTATAGCTATAATAATTCCAGTTTGTAACACTGGAATTACTTTGCTAATAACACGCTTCGGAAGTGGAGGTGGATAGTTAGCCAAGACAACATTAATCCCAGGAAATAAAGATTCCAGCATGTTTTTTACTGTTACTGCAGTTCCCCTGCAGAAAATTTCATGAAAATTAAACAAAATATACTAAACTATGCTCTACTTGCAAGCTTTTTATCATATTGCAATTGAAAATCGATTGTAAGTATTGCTAGCATTCTTCTTGCAAATATATGAATTCAACAACCGAAACAAGCTAAGGAAGAATGCAGCTAAGAAAGAGCCAAGTCTAGTCCAAATTTTGAAAAATTACAAGTTTTAAGCACTAGCAAAGTTAGAAAGATTACTATTACCACCAATACACACAGCTTAGGACCAAAAATCAGAACTTCTAAGTAGGACAAATGGATGACAGCACGGTTTGGCATACAATACAATTTTTCAAACTGAAATGGGAGGATATATATGCTCCAACAATGTTAGAAAGAAAAACAAAAACAAACTTCACGCCTATTAGTATAAATATCCAGTGACTAGCGAAACACAACTCAGAGAAAGACAGGCTAACAGAACGCCAATATATGTTGAGAATCATTGAGTGTGATTAGATAAACAACTTAATTAAGAGCTTATTCAATAAGAATTCATCATATAAGAACTGATATATAGGTTTATGCTACGTAATGAGTTTAAACTCTATATAAGTTGTTTCTATGAACTATCATGACGAGTTTAGGATAGTAACATTAAAACAGTCTGTGGAATAATCACAACCTAGTTTTACAAGTTCTTCCAGGTACTCACATAATCACTTATGACATGAAATAGGTTTTGACTTTTGCTTTTGTTTACGTTCCTTTCTTTATCGGTTTCTTTACAATACCAAAACAATAATAATAATATTACATAATATTTTTCCGGCAGACTCTACTAAATGTCCAAGGTGAACTAGTATTTAAAAATCACTCAAAAACTCAAACACAATTTACAACACCTCTTGGAAGTAGAATCTCACAGTTCTCCTCATCTTTAAGATTGAGATGGCAACCTAATAAGTGTTAGTTTGATTCATGTGTCAAGTGTGAATAAAAGTCTCACATTGCATAGGAAAATAGATGTTGAGCAACATACAAGTGAAAAGACCCATAACCTAGTGCCTTAAAGTTCTAGATTAAAATGTGATTTCCAAACTCAGAACTCCCTTATGTGATTACTCTTAGTCCAATATAATGATTTATATTAGTGTTTTAAACTCTGGAGTCCCAACAAATTTGACAAAAACAAGAAAAATCAAATGAGTTAAATTTTGAGAAACACTAGTTTCCACTTATTTTTGCCAAACCAGCATTAATCAATCAAGTCATTGTCTCAGCCGTGAGGACGAGCAAGACTACGAGTTTCTACTTCTGCAAGACAGTGTTTCTCATTATACGAATTTTGAATAATTTTTAAGACCAGTCCATCCTGTACCATAGAAATTTTTCCTATTGTTCCAATTAGACCCACATATGTTAACATTACATATAGAAAAGAACTCTTCAGCTTAAGTAAACAAAGAAAATCAAAATTGCAAGATAAAGCAACGAGTTTCTACTTCTGCAAGACAGTGTTTCTCATTATACGAATTTTGAATAATTTTTAAGACCAGTCCATCCTGTACCATAGAAAATTTTCCTATTGTTCCAATTAGACCCACATATGTTAACATTACATATAGAAAAGAACTCTTCAGCTTAAGTAAACAAAGAAAATCAAAATTGCAAGACAAAGCAAGAGATTAAGGAACAAACTTGTAAGAACATGAAGTGCAGAAATCAATGCTCACAGTGTTACCAACACCGATTGGACCAAATTCACTCGGTTTCTGCATTTAAACAAACACCTTATCAGCATAAAAAAGAAAGGAAAAAAAAACATAAAATCGAGATAAATAAGAATATAGGAAAATTAAAAGTGGGAAATTGATGGAGGATGTGAAAGACCTGTGAGGGAAAATCAAGTGGTTGTTGAAATTGCGGTTGTTGAGGTTGAGGAATAGGGTGATTGTGATTGTGATGAGATGGTTTGGGAGGCGGTGAAGAAGAGAAAAGGTTGATAATGTCAGAGAAGAAAAGGAAGATTGGTAAACCAACGAGAAGAATTTGTGTGCGATCCATTGCTACAACAATTTGCACAGAGAGAGAGAGAGAGAGAGAGAGGGAGAGAGAGAGAGAGAGTTTTTGCTGAAGAATCTGATGGGCGAGTTTTTCAGAATTTGAAGATCAGTAGAACGAATATTAATGTGTTTCGGATTTGATAATAGTTTAACTTTTTTACCTATAGTTGAGAATTTTTTACCCAATTATCCCAATTTTTAAAAAAAAAATCTCAAAATACTTCACATTAAAAATATTTTCAAAGTATCTCAGTTAGGATTTGAGATTACACAAGGGCGTCAATCTAATTGGCGACCCTTTGTTAAGGCCATAAGGGTGGCGCCAATTAGTCTGGAGACATCTCATGCAGTCTCCAATTCAATTGGCGACTTGGTTATGTTCATTAAAGGGTGTCGCCAATTCATCTGGAGACCCCTTATATTTTGAAATTTTTTTTCTATAAATAGAGACGTTATGATCATTTACTTCCACATCTCATCTGATATTTTTGTTCTACTGATAACATGTATCGTCGTCGGTGGAGAAAATCGTTTATTCGAGAGAGAAGCCTCCGATGGATATGTTGTTTTGGAACATACAAAGTTTCAATCAACTTAAGAGGGAGCTGAATCGGTGGTTGGAAGGAGACATTGGTGAAGGGAAAAAAAATTGTAGTATCGATAGACTTGATCGGCTGCGTGGATGGGTTCGTGTTAAGACCGACAAAGATGCGAGGGAAGTCATGTTTGGACCGAATGGAATTAGTTTGATTATTGTAATCAGTTAGAATTGTTGTAATCACCTAGTTAATGTTTTATGTTTAATGAAATTAGTATGTGTTGTGTGTTGTTAGTCGTGTATGTTGTTAAGACCGTTGTATTTGGTTACAACAAATTAAAAGACTCATCAATATATGAAAATATTTGGTTACAACAAATTAAACGATAAGCTAACTCGTGAAGTAGATGTGCCTCCGATATTAGGACAATTTTTACGGTTGTGTCCGGGCTGACGACATATACTACACAATCTTATCATTTTATTTGTCATATCCATTTTGGTTTTTATACGCTTGTTGTTTGAGCGTCTTTTTTTCTTTCTTCTCATGTCATCGTTGTGCCAAACTGTGCCACCTTGGTATGGAGGCCTATAACCCTCCATTGGTAGCACTGCGAAGCCTTCGTTGTATACATTCATAACATTAATTGCCTTGTAAACATCAGATAGATAGCCATAAGCATCCTGATAAGCATGTGTGCATGTCGCAATGACATGTGAGCAAGGTACACGAAAGGCCTGATACTTGCCACAGTCACACCAACATCTGTTTAGTCTGAAGGCATAGGATAAATTAGGCCTCCCTTCATTATGGTCCATTGTTTCTTGTACACTGAATGTTTGCCTATGACGGTTGAAGACTGTAACTGCATGTGTGCTGGCTTTAATAATATCCACTTTCATCAATTTCATAATGCTTTCACTGAATACTTGATCGGACGTTAACATTGCACTTCATCTCTTGCCTCTTGTTGTGAAAAGTGATGCCAACCTATAATATGTTGATCTCACCAAAGCGGTGATTGAAAGGTTTCTAATTCCTTTGAATACCCCGTTCATGGATTCCACAAGGTTTATCGTCATGTGGCCCCAACGACATCCACCATCAAAAGCTCCTGTCCACTTTTCGAGTGGAATGTTATCTAACCAGCTTCCTGCATCTACATTTGACATCTTAATTTTGTTAAGACAACATTGAAATGTTGGTTGAGTTAGAGCATACCCGACATTCACAACTTTTTTGCGAAGGTTCTTGTCTTTGATTGCACGCATAAAGTTTTGTGCAATATGTCTAATGCAATATACATGGGTAGAAGGAGGATTATGCCACATGTTATCATGCTTATTGTAGTCACTCTCTATAGCAGCATGTCTATCTGAAATCAAACATAGATTGGCTTATGGAGCGACATGTGTTCTGAGATTCTTAAGGAAGAAACTCCAAACATAAGTAGTCTCACCCTCAACCAGAGCAAGGGCTATGAGAAAGACATTATTGTTACCGTCTTGTGCAACAGCCATAAGCAAGGTGCCCTTGTATTTTCCATATAGTCATGTTCCATCAATTTGAATAACAGGTTTGCAGAATGCAAAACCTCTTATGCATGGTTGAAACGACCAAAAAAGACAGTGAAAGATGACATTTCCATCAACAATAGTTCCATCTGGCCTACATGCAGGCATTGTATGCATGATTGCAACAGTTCCCGCTGTGTATGTCTTTAGCGCTACCAAAAATCTGGTAATTCTTGTATGATGGAGTATAATTATACTGTGTTACAATATGAAAGATTATTATACTCACCTTGACTGAAGGATCCTTGTTAACAAGCGACAAAATATCTTGACATATCAATTATGCGCTTAGCTTTCGGTGATCCTGAACAATATATGTGGCAATGCAACTGTGAGGTGGCTTTATGGAAGCTATCTTCCAAGAATCGCTTCTCTTGTTGTAAGACGCAGCAAGCCGAAACTTGCAAAGTGGATTACGACAAATAATGACATACCTTCTCGAAACAATTCGTTGTACATTGAAATTAACAGGGTTATCCATGTGATATTTTTTAATGGCTCGTACACAGTCCTCCTTGGTATGAAACTGGTCTCCAACTTTTAATTCATTCTCTGATCATATATACAAGTTGTGAAACATATTTGCGGATCTCTCATTGTCTTGTAAGTCCAAATCGGTCATATGTTGAGGCAGACAATATGCATGACCTGGAGGTAGTGGCACTTGTTCGTCATCTTCAACATTGTCGTTCAACAGTTGATCTACCAGCATCCCACTTCCTTCTTCTTCTTCATCAACAACGTTGACCTTCGGTTCTGTTTCATCTGAGTATTCTGATTTAGTTTCATCTGAGTCTATAATTGTTGATTGATCGATGATCTAAGACTGTTGAGACGAAATATTTTGCTGGAGGAACGTATACAACTCAATGTATTTGAAACCAGAATGTTCGTGACTTAGGAACATATTTTCTACATCTTCGTCGTCTCGCACTTTAAGTGGATAAAATTTAACGTGGTTGGTTTCGAAATAAAATGGGTTTTGAAATATTGTTTGTGCTATAAGACCAAGCCCTAATTTCGATTCCAATCTTTCTTTGAAATGCAAGAAACTTGTGTTTCTATTGATTGTGAATCAGACAATGTCGGTGTTTTAAAAACCAAACCTAAATACATCGGAGACACATGTCTCTCCGTTGTAGTGGGCATTAACAATATATTTCGGTGCAGAGGACATACTAAAAGAACTAGTTACAAACTTAGTAAAATTGTTTTTTTTGTTTCTATGAATGTTTGCATGCAAGGGAACATATTTATGAGTTTGTGACATGTATTAAGGCACCACATTAATTTGTGAGACATTCAAAGGTAATAAATTAAGGCGCCAAATCAATTGGTGACATATTCATATGCAATAAATGAAGTCGCAACATGCATTGGCGACATGGTTTAGCTTTTAATGGTCTCTGCCGCCATGTGGGTGACAACATGATATGCATGCATGCAACAAGTTTCAGCCTATGTGCTCAGCTAGGGAATCTACCAGGGGTCGCCAATTGGACCGGCGCCCCTTTGTTAATGGGAAAGGAAGTCGCCAATTGCCCTGGCTACATGGTTCAGACGAATTCCCTATATAAGAATGATACTAGCATGGGTAAAATGCATCATATGATTCTTACTTGTTGCAGAGAGGTAATATTAAGTCTATTTGTGTCAGTATACTAGTTATCTGATTCAAATTTAATCAGTTATAATGGCTTTTTTGACAATGGGTGAAACACATAGAGGCACTGTCGCAAATATCGCGACTTATGTAAGTGTTCATTGTTTCTTGTATATGTTAATTTTTAATAAATCTTTTAACTTTTTTTTACTCTTATAATATTTAATGACTCTTTTAATTTTTTTTACAATTATGTAGGAAGTCTCTAAGTTTCGGTGTCGTGCCCATGAATATGTTGCACCCGACGAATTAATTCGACCATATATTGAGCTCGCCGGTTTCGGACATGTAAGCAAAATCATGTCTTACTCGGTTGATTCAAAGTTTATACTAGCTTTGCAAGAGAGATGGCACCCAGAGACACACACCTTCTTTTTTCCAACCGACGAATGTACTGTAACCTTAGAGGACGTGTACATATTACTCAGTTTATGTATTGATGGTAAGGCGGTCAATAGAACAACAAACCTTAATGGTTCAATTTGTGAGGAACTTTTGGGTGCCGACTTACTAGATGAGAACTCGAAAGGCCAAGGTATCTTACTTCCCGCCTAAAATCATGGTACGTCGGTTTTATATTAGATGAATATTCTACAAAGAAAATAAAAATAATAAAAATCAGGTGTTATCTTATGCTTTTAATTGGTTTATTTTTATTTCCCGAGGGCACTGGTTTTTCTATGCACATAATGTATTTACCTTTATTAAGAGACCTAACTAAACCAAAAGAGTATAGTTGGGGTTCCACTTATCTGTATTATTTATATAGCTCTTTGTGTAAGTTCACAAAAAAAAACACATCTACTTTTTCTAGATGCGTCGTTTTTCTCCAAGCATGGGGTTGGTCTAGATTGCCATCCCTAGCGCCCGTCAACCACAACAATTTTTCCTTCCCATGTGCATAAAAGTAAGTTACTAACTTAATATTTGTTTATTTCACCTTAATAATAATTATTTCTAACTAATTGAATTTGAACTGTTTTTGGTTTAGATGGTCGGCTAAGGGTATGACTTACAATAGATGCCCTAGACATTGTATCATTCAATACCACAATCTGTTGGATCACCTAACACCTGCAGATGTAGGGCCTTTAAACTACATTAATTTATATTTTATATCAACTATTTTATGATCTAATATTTTTCTCTTCTTCAGTTCATATGGCATTCATATCGAAACATGGAACACCTGCATGAAGTCAGAGAGGAAGAAGTTGTCGTTTGG